GCACACAAGTTTTAGAAGAGCCAGGATCTCACAGGTAAGATGATCAACAACATTGTTACCACAGAAAGGCAACACCATTGTCATGACTGTTTGCACTAAGGAGTTCATGCAGCCTATGACCCAGGACCATGCCGCCAAGTGCATGTATAACACCTTGTTCATGATGATGGGGTACCTCAGTGGGTTGCAGATGGCTACATACCTGTCATAGGCCATCACAGCCAGAAGGACACATTCTGTGGAGCCCAAGCCAAGGGTGAAAAACATCTGTAGAGTACAGCTAAGAAAGGAGATGGATATTCTCTCTGACATAAATATAATAAGCACTGAGGGAATGGATGATGATGTGTAACAGATGTCTAAGAATGAAAGATTTCCAAGAAAGAAGTACATGGGAGTATGGAGGCGAGGATCCAGGAAGCTGATGATAATGAGGAGACTGTTTCCTAGTAGGATTATCTTGTACATGATGAGGCAGAGAACAAAGAGAAAATGTTGAAGTTCTGGGTATTGAGAAAGCCCCATTAGAAAGAATTCAGTCACTGCAGAATAATTCCCCATCTTCATGTGCCCTTGTCATCTACAGAGTTCATATCAGGATGTGACTCAGGGAAATCTGAACTTTTGATGTATTATATCTAATCTTTTCTCTTCCATTATTTATTTATTTTGATTTTTTAGACCATGTCCTGGAATCAGTAACAGCAGGGATAGTATATTAATTTTACTAATGATGAAAGAGACACTGAAAGATAGGTAATACTACCTAGCGTCAAATAGCAATGGAGACTTGGAATTGTGCTGAGAAGTGCCAGGCCTTTTATTATGTATAAATTTAAGACAAATTGCATTCAAATATATATACCTTAAAAAATCTTTATTAATGAATGTTTTGAAATAAAACTATTCTAATAAAGCTCATTCAAAATTAAAGTACCATGTAGATTTAGTGCTATGCTACTTATCTTCAGTATGATCCATTTTAAGTTACCTATCTATTTTGAGTTTCAACTAGCTCAGCTACTAACCTCAGCCTGAAAAAATGGAGGATGTTATTAATTATTTGGTATTTTTTTGTGAGAATTAAATAAGATAACATCTATTAGGTGGCAAGTACAATAGACAGCTTCAACATGTCATCTAAAACTATGTGAGAATACAATATAATAAAATATATAATTAAATATAACAAAAATAAATATATAATTCTTTATTTGTAACTGCAATAAACTATGATTTTAAAATCTCCTTGATTGGCTTAGAAGGAAAAGTTGATTTTTTAAAAAATGTGGATTGAAGTTGGGAAATGTCATTGATGAAAATGAATATTTCCTGATCTGTGGGACATGTAATCAGTTAATATTCTGAGATTCATTGGAGTTTGGCTTCTAACAACTAGCTGGCACAAAGGGATCTGTGCTGCCATTATGCGGAGATTTTGTTTTCCTTTATGTGGGGTGCACATACCAGAGATTGAACCCAGGGGCACTTAACCACTGAGCCACATGCCCAGCAATTTTTATTGATTGATTGATTGATTGATTGATTGGACAGGGACTTGCTAATTGCTGAAGCTGGTCTTGAACTTGTGACTTTTCTGCCTCAGCCTCCTGAGCTGCTGGGATTACAGGTGTGAATCACCACACACAACCATGCACAGATTTTCTAGGGCCTGTAATTCACCGTTCTTCAATTTAAGTACCAAACATTACCTTTCCTCCTTACTTGTATACATTTCCAGTCAATCTAAATTCTCTGTTCCTTTTTCTCTACCACTTGCCTTTTAGGTGTATATTTTATGTTTTCTACACATATTCCTATCATTGCACAAAATAATATTAATATATCTATTATTTCATTTATTATATTTGATGGTTTGTAATGCATCCATTGATCTTCCTATTTATTTTTTTATTTTTGGCCATGAAGCTTCTGTAAATGACTAAACTAATACTGGCTATTTTATATTGAGTATGCTGTAAGTATATTAGATTAATGTAACTCACTGAATGTGTTAACTGATTTAAACTTCAGGGCAACTCTGTAATACAGATACCATTTTAAACTCCCATTTTATGTGGAGCAAACAAAGACACAAAAATTGAAGTAACTTTCACAAGGTCATGATATAATAGATGATCAAACTAGAATTAAGTATTTTAGTCATGATTCTAGAGTCAGCCCTCTTAACCACCAGAACAGACTATGTCACAGATTCCTATACTGATTTTAAGCAGCAGAAAACTATTTAAAAAATGTTACACATACATAGGAATCAAGACAGTTTGTTTTATTTCTGACCTTAAGTGTTATGACAGAAAGCTCTGAAGGCTGGATCATAGCATCCTTAATTTTCCACATGTAGGAAGGAATTTCACAATTATGAGGATTAGCATAATCAGGAATAATGGCCTGAGAACCCTTACCATTTTTTTTGCCTCTGGCAAACACACACCTGGAATTCTTAGCATTTGGCTTTCTTCTCAAAATCAGTATATACTTCAGGAACTTCAGTTACCTTAGTTTTGGCCTTTTGTTTTCTTCTCTGAATTTTTGTACCCTTTCAAGTTATGCTTCACAAATTAATGTTTTTTCTTTTTTCACATTTTTTTATTCGTGCATTATAGACATAATGATGAGATTTGTTGATATTTGGACATGAACACAATATAACAATATAATTTGGCCAAAGTTTGGCCTTTTCTACCTTTTTCCTCCCAACTCATATTTTCTGAAGTTCTGTCTACTTATAACTTTAAACTATATAGTGAGGAACTTAGTTGTGTTCCAATTATTTCATACTTACTTTTAAGATGCTTAAACATGAATGTAAACATATTATATAAAGGATCTCATCTTTCATTCTTTTATTTCTTCACTGTTGTAGCTTGTGTTCTCTGAGTTGTGGTGATAGAATGAAAATATTCATTTTGAATCATATATATCACATAAGTATAGATTTCTTTGGCTTGTTTGTATCCCAAGAGCTTGAAGATATAGACGAAGGACTTACTACTTAGGGGGGGTCACAAGATGACAGGACTGTCTTCCTATCAGGGACAAGACAGGATGGGAAAAATAATTTAATCTTCATTTTTTTCCCCTTTACATTTGTCTTCCTTTTGGAGAGTATCCCTTGGACAGTGATTTTTGATAAGGCTAAAAACATGGTAGTACTAGTATCAGCATATTGAAAACTATTCCCTTCTTCCTATCTTTTCTTTCCTGTCTAGGCACATTGGACACAGGGACTTATTCTACAAAGGAAAGAGTTGAGATAGCAGTTTTAATTTATTGTAAGACATTTGTGGAGAAGAGAGGGAGGACGGGGAAGAGAAGAAGAAGAAAAGAAGGAAAAGTAGTCAATAAAGTTAAATAAAGTAGTTAAATAAAGTTCACTAAACATTTGTATTCTAGAGTAGGGTTCTTGGAAAAATAGGCACGAAGAAAACGTGGTTTCCTTTTTCTGTGTTCAAAATCTTTCAGGGAAGGTGTATATTTTTTCTTAATTAAGGATGATTTTAAGAGAAAGAAAAAAAGTCATGTTGCCATAAATATAGTTAACCCATCACAAAAAGTCTATCTTGTCTCCCTCAGTTTTCATTCCTCCTCTCATTTCTGATATTTCTCTTCCCATTTTGGTGTCCAGTAAGGAGTTACTGGGTGGGCTTGCCCTGGAATATTCCTCATCAGCATCCTCATAAAAGTCACACCAACAGAGGAACATATCCTGAGGAAAAACTATGTGCTGCCTATGCAACACAGCTTAAAAGACCTCCAGCCAATCATGCAATCATTCTTTGGTCCCTTTGAAGTAGAAATTCTGAAACCACTAGTGACACTTCCAATGCTCTGCAATGACCATGCTGAGTGTCGTTTAGTCATCCTGAAACACTAAAATCTTTTTTCTTTTTGCCTTTGTACATGCTGTTTTCTTAAACTGGAAGGACTTCTTTCAATTCAGATGTTGTTTTTTTCTAGGAAACTTTGTCACCTTCTATTGGGAGGGTGATGCTCCTGCTATGTCACACAACCCTGTGCTTCCTACTTTCATAGCATACTTCATTTACTTATTTATTCAACACAAACCATGCCATTTATATTGTGATATATAGCAGGGCTCCAATGTGAGACTTTCCAAATGGACACTGGATGCAGAATAACTACTGGGATTTTAAGAAACAAATAATTTATATGCTATCTAACACTTTAAT